AACAACATACAATTAGTCACAAAATTGGTTTCACCAATATTTGATCAAGCTTATTTTATAATGTGACCAGAACAAAAATCATACATATCATAAGTAATGGGGAAAAATAGTGCTTTCGTTGTATTTTGCTGGTCAATATATAACATGCACTCAATGGATAATTTAAAAGAAAGTTTATCCCAATAGCGATGTGCTGAAATGTATTTGGTTATTCAATTTTTAAAAAGATGACTAGTTCAAGCAGGATGTTGTCATTTTTGTGTTGTTCTTAAAATTTTATGGTTTGCTACAATGTACAAAATATTCAATGATTTGTCAAAAAATCATTACATCCAAATCAATTTTATTTTATTTTACTTGTATTATGTAATGCGGTAGCTTTCAATCTCTATCTAAATTATTTTTTAAAAGTAAAACTATCTTATTTAATTGTTTGTTATTTCTCATTTTGTGTAAATATTTACAACTCTGCTTTTGGGCGTAACGTGTTAGAGGTTAGCAGGTAAAGGTAAATTGTAGGAAACACTACAGAACGTTACTATATACATGTAGTAGATGTAGAGCTATGGAATTCAAAAAAATTACTCAGGTAATCGAACACAATCCCTCCTTTCCTTTTCAACTCTATATGCCCAAGCTATAGCTGTCTGTGATAATTGAGAGACTGTTACAATAATAGTTCATATATATAATTGTAGATGAATGAGAAAATGGGGGGGATATAACCTTCAAATGTCAACACATCAGTGGGAATAACTTTTTGTTTTGAGTAACAGAGACCAAGTGACCCATATGCACTCCCATCCCAACAGGCGAGAAGTGTTGACAGATTTAATTACTGCGCTTGAAATGCTTACTCAGTTGTTGATTGTAAATAAAAATTTGCTTGAAAAAGAACTGAATTAAGTGGTATATTGCTTCTGTCAGCAAAAAAATCTAAATGATGTCACCTGTTAACTTACACAAACTAAAACAAACAAATGTGTTACTATATCTGCCCCTCCAACTACATTACATATAATAATTAATCAATAAGATATAAATAATTTAGTTTACAACACATCTTTATGATCAGAAGTAACCAAATACATTTCATCACATCGCTATAGGGATTAACATTCTTTTAAAGTCCCAATAAATTCTGTCAAAATGTTTTCATCAATGATAAATAATTGTCTCAATGATACATATACTGGTTGATAGACTGCATGTTATACATTGATCAGCAAAATAAAAGGAAAGCACTTGTTTTAGGGTGGGGACATTACTTATCATATGTATTAATTTTGTTATGAGTCACATTTATAAAACAAGCTTGATCAAATATTGGTGAAACTAATTATAGGTATAAAACAGCTCCCTTTTTACAAAACAAGGGTAAAATAATTTTATTTAAAGTTAATTGTGTGTCATCATTTAAAATGCACAATGTGTACTTTAAAATGAAAAAAAAACAAAACAACAAAAAAAAAAACCACAAGTTGTTGAGCTCATTTCAATAAATATTTTACTTTTTAAAGTTTTCAATTCTGGTAATTATATTTATTTAAGTCTATTATTTATTATTTAAGTATATTATTTAAGTCTAGTAATTAATCCTGGTCAATTATTAAACTTCAACAGATGTATTTATCAGTCGAGTCTTAACACTCTATTCTGTAGCATGTCCTCTACTTTAACCAGAAAAGGAAGATACTTGTTAAGAAGATAGAGATACAGAAAAAAATGTGACCTTCAAACAAATTCCAACAAAGGGGCTATCTTGCACTTAATAGTAAAATGAAAAAAATGTGCCTTTCTCATTAAATTGCTGTCATCAGTTCTGCAGTGCAGTGCTCTTTCTCTGTTTGATATTAAAGCTGTCAACACCTCTTGCTAGGTTTGCCTGTTTTGGGATAGGCGAATAAGGTCAAACAGTCTTGCTAAGTTTAGATAGTGTTTATATAAAGCATTTCTAGGTGATTCTCTGTTTGACATTTAAAGGTCGTTAGTTTTTGGTTGCATGGACTTCTTTTGTTTCTTGTTTCATTCTTGGTACAGTGTACACAAATCCAAAACGACACTAAAGGGGAGATATAATTGTATGCAAAAGAAATTGTTTTGTTCTCAAACTTCCTGTATTGTTATAATACAGACTCCACTCCATGACTCCACGACTCCACTCCACTCCACTCCACTCAGCTTTTTACCCCAAGCCTAAATTTACTCAACCATGCACAGAGTCAATTGTTTTAACAAATTTTAATATGAACTTATGATCGAACTGTACTTATAATCTTGCTCCAATAACACATGAAGATTAGCATAATTCTAAAACTATTAGAACGGTTTTTTAACGTTTCCAAAGTAACACAATTTCAACAAAGTTTTAACCCCCAATATTTTTCTTATTCAATTACCCGATACAAATAAGAGCAGACCAAGGTGACGGCTGTGACGCTCTCTATCGACCAGAATAATATAATTATCAGTCATCATATATTTTAAAAAATTTAAGAGTCGTATAGAGCAGAATCCACGTCATGATGATTTGATTTTTAACGTAGGCTGACTTCATTGGAACTCGACTCAAATTAAAGACACCAGGAATCGAACGGGAAAAACTGCTGTAAGTCACATTTGGTTTTCCACTCTACTTTCGTTTCATTATGACTGATTTTGTTAAAATTGCGGTTCGGGGAAAGTATTGTTTGGTGCAACATCATCAGTGCATAACATAGCTGCTAACATGTATGTGTCTGGTAAGCAGGTCCAGTTCAAAATTAAAATTTCTGTCTGTCAACGTACAACTGCTTATGTAGATACCCGGTATTTAAACCTAATCCAGCAGTTATTCATACAGGCCGCTATTTTTACCTACTTATTTCTCTTAACTTAAAGATCTGTATTAATTTCAAAACTTTCCTTCAAAACATTCATTAATTTCAAAACTTTATCCTTAGATGTAAGGTTTCGGGCATCCTCAGGGATCCTGAGTCAACATGTTGCCTACTCGGATCCCTTTCTAACTTCTTTTGATATTTTATGGGCTGAGTAGCAGCAATGTCCTTCGCAAAAATTTCAAAAAACAGTAACATAAAGCATTTTTGTTATAAACAACTTGTAACTATATACAGTTCAAATATCAACGTATTCTTTTCTGCTTACCTGTATATGTATATAAGCAACATTTTAACCTGTGTTTCCCAATGAGAGAAGCTATTCCTGAAGAAAACCAAATGACATTAATCATTAGTAGCTCTTGATCTTAGCTACCCAAGGTCTTAAGGAAGAATGTTCAGTGTCAGGCGCCTGAAAACTTCTCAGGAGCAACTCACACAAAAATGTGTGCTCATGACCCCTGACATTGTGAAGATGGGTTTTAAAGCAGTTCTTCTTGTATGTATATTCCCTCTCTAGACCACACCTTTGCAATAATTACAAATTTACGTCCCAAATTTAGCCATGCAAGTGTACAGTCTGATAAAGAACAAGTCGACTGACATATTTTAAAGATGTGCCTTAATTATTGCTATTTCTAAAGACAAGTAAAAGTAGATAGAACTAGAAAAGAAATTCGTTGCGAGCAACGAGAGGTCTTTCGTCCGATTCTGAAAAAAAAACCTGCAAAATTGAGCTGAAAAAAGTGATAAAATTTGTTATGAAAACAAAGGGCATTGAACCTGGGTCGTTAGCATGAAAATCCAAACCGCTTACTATTACTCTATAAGAACAAAAGCTCTAAATGTACTTGTATATACTTCTGCAACAGTACATTTGTTTTCGAATAATGAACGGCAGGTCACTATTCATAATTTTGTGTCAAACAGCACGAGTAAATCTTCGCGCTTTTTCTTTGGAATGTTCCATTAAATAGGTGCGATAGCTTCGATGGAAATGAAACAAGAATGTTCTTATAGCTTAAATTTCAAGGTTAAGAAAGTATATTTAGCATATTTACACATTCCATATCGTATATAGATAAATAAAACTAAATCAGTGAATCTGGTAATGGTATGTGGTTACCAGAGGGACCCTGCAGCTATTGTCTTTCTCCTTGTAGCGTAATAGGTTTTGCCTGTCATGTCCCGCCATCTCATCAATAGCTGTTTGTACGGTGCGGGCATTGTAGCCTCTTTTGCATAAGTGGGACTTAAGAAGACCACTTTGCTCCTGATATAAGGCAGGGGACGAACAGATGCGTCGAATTCTTGTGGCTAGACCCTTAGGCACTCCCTTAAAAGTGTGTGGGGGATGACAGCTAGAGGGCATAAGATATAGGTGGGAGTCTGTGGGTTTGGTGTGGAGACTGAATTCGATTTCACCATCAATCAGGGTAGATGTAGTATCTAGGAATACGTTTTTCGAATTAGATACGTCTACTGTAAATTTGATCGATTGATGAAAGGTGTTGGCAAACGTAATGAATGCCTCGAGGCTCTCGGGACATTCCACCCACTTCATCTCTATATCGGCTATGAAACGCAACCAGCTATGGGGCCTAAATAGTGCTTGAAGTAACAAGTTGCGTTCCAGTCTGCCCATGAAGACATTGGCATAAGACGGTGCCATTTTCGTACCCATAGCAGTGCCATTAACTTGCAGGTAATGTTCTCCATTAAACATGAAGTTGTTGAACTTGAGAACATGTTCAAGGAGCTTAGCAAGGGACTCAGTAGAAGGAATTTGTATGGATCTACTATCCCAGACTTCTCTACAGGCTTCGATTCCCTCATCGTGTGGAATATTGGTGTACAAAGATGTGACGTCCATAGTCACGAGGAGGGTATGATTTGGGAGGCCAGTAGAGGGCTTCTTGTTAATGTAGTCCGTGGTGTCCTTGAGATAGGATGGCATATACATATATATATGTATTTATTTATTTATATTTATAATAGTACATTTAGTAGATATAATGAAAATAAAATTCTCTCATGTAAACATGTAGTGACTTCAATGGAAAAAGATTAGTAGACAAGTAGCATCAAGCATACAATTACTGAGTAAATGTTCTTTTCCAGGAGGAGTTTGGCAGCCCAGTTGATGGACAACAGATTTCTGACCTCTGCCAGAAAATGGCACAAGTTTGCGGTGATGTAGCAGCTATAACAAATAAACTTCAGGTTTCCTTCTCTCTCTCCATTTTCCCACTCTCATTTTTGCCATTTTTTCTCTCTTCATGTTAATATTCATATTCTGCAAGATAAAATATATCGGATTAACCAAAGCAGACTTGATCACATAAATTATTTACAGGTGTTACTGTATGCACCTCAGAATAATACTTTTGTATTCATTTTTTCTTGCTCCAGGAAGTGAGATTTCAAAAGAATAACCCTGAGCTGGAAAACGTGCTGTGTAAGCTATTTCTGATCTTGTTTTTTTTTTTTTGGATAGCTTCAATGTTAGAACCAGAAGAACTTGGCAATAGTAAAGCGTCTGTCATTTGTCCATATGTTTGTTACATATTCAAAATAGCTCATATCCCCCAAGTTTGGTCGCATTTCTGTACATAACTTGATACACATCTAGACAACAATAAGATGCATAATAATCCCCTCAAAATAGAATTTGGGGTGGGGTAGTTTGACATTGTGTGCATAATGGAAATGATTTAATTTGCAACAAGATCAATTTTGAAAATTTATAGATAAATGCTCTTCTGTGAGGGGATGCTCCGCCTTATGGTGTCCATGTTGTAAATACCGGTATTATACTTAAAGCAGAACAGTTTACTGATACAGGCTAAATGAAACTTGTCTTTCGGACTATTGAAATTTGAAACCAGTTGAGCTACAGTCTATTCAGAGACTCCTGCCTAATTACATGTGTTGTGAGCTTATAGATATTTAAATTTACCGTAATTTTTTAATGCTAAAATTATTTCAATGTTATATTGAATACCTGTGGATGTGAAGTTGCTATATTTCTTTAACCATGTAAACTTTAATCCATTAATGATTGTTTAATTTCTATCTTTTTAAACACAAATATAGGTTACACCGAGTCACAGCTAAAAGCTCATGAATCGAAGATCTATGTAGAACCAATGAGAGCGATGCAACATTGCCTCAAGAATATGGAAAAGCACAGATTTATCTGTATAACAGGAGAGGCAGGAAGTGGAAAGACGAGCTTCGGACTTCAGCTGATGCAGCATATAAAGAAGAAGAATCCAGACTGTATACCTATCATTCTCACAGAAATTAGTCAGTGGTTTAGATTTATATCACCGGATAAAAAGTTTATTATTTTTGTTGATGATATTATAGGAAAGTCAGGTGTTAGTGAAAGGGATTTTGCAGAATGGCGAAAGGTTTTTGATGCAATGCAACTACGTGTAAGTGATGATTGTTTCCCTACATTCATTATTTTTTCGTTACGAAATTGTATTTGGGGAATAAAGAAAGATGAGTTCAAAGATTATATTTTATTCAGCGTCTTCAAAACTTCTAATGTCGATTTGTCAGGTTCAGACTTTGGCATGTCCTTCAAAGAAAAGAAATCAATGTTGTACAGATATTGTAAACTTTACAACATTTCAGTTTGTAAGTCAGAGTTTGAAGAGAATAGATCTTTTGAGGTTTTTGATCCCAGTGCTTTGTGTCTCTGTGAGGAAACTTTGAATAATATTGCTCAATCGGAAACTGTTAGTGGTTTTCCACTGTTGTGTGAAGAATTTTTTAGCAACCCAGAGTCCTTGAAACAAAGGTCAAACTTTTTCACCATCAATTCAGCATGCAACCATTTTAAAAATCTAGTGGATGACTTATTATGCAAAAAGATGTATTTGCATTATGTTATATTAGTTTTGTTCTTCTTGGAGGTTTTAACAGAGAAAGCGTACTCTATACAAGAAATAATGAAACGAAGATCAAAGATAAAGGAAATTGCAAAGAAAATTTATTTGTTTCACTTCATATCACACCAGTTGAACAAAGCTGAAATTCAGGGTAGCCTTAAAGATTTACAGACCACTTTTGTACATAGTAAAGATGATGGGTACAAACTTAAGCATATGGTTGTGTATGAAGCAATTTTACTGTCCTTTGGGGAGAGTTTTCCATCTCCATTTCTAGAACTTGTGAACAGGAATGATGTGTTTACGTATGTAAGGTCACATAATTACAAACCAGAAAAATGGGAGATCTGTGTGCATTTAGAAGATGATATGACTGAAGCTCTAGCTAGAAAACTGATAGATATTTTTGCTCCAAATACTTTTGATGCTTACACTGTTGTTTACAAGCATCCATCATTTAACGATGTACAGTTGGTGTCTTGATTTTTGGACATAGTGGAGGAAGAGCCTGAATTCGGAGCTTTTGTAGATTCTTTTGTGGCTGGGGCTTGCAGTTACAAGAGAGATAAATTAGCTTGTGAAACAGTCAAAAGATTTTCCAGCTTTTTTACATTTGACTTTGAAATATTGAATGTAATTTTGACTCATGATCTTATTGATACTTTCAATCAATTTATAAATAACTCTGAATTTCAAAAATCATTTGTGGCTCATATTTTGGAAAAAGGTAATGAAAACAATCTTTTGTATACTGCATCTAAAAGTGGCTCTAAGAAGTGTTTTCTTGGTATGCTTGACTTATTGCTATCCAGAGACAATGATTTAGAAACTGATGGAGACAGTCAAGCTGTTTTATCAACATCTGATGCTAGGACACTAATACAATCAATTCTGTCACATCATGATGAGGCTGTAGGGGCGGACTGGAGGGAGGCATTAACAAAACTGACAGAGTTAACGGCATCTGATGATTACAAACAAGACGTTTATAATTGTATTGTTCTGGAGTCTCTTAGGCTTAGAAAGTATGATATTACCCTGGAATATCTTCAATTTATAGATTCTTTCAGAACTGTTGATGTGCTTCTCTTAATTCCTTGTTGCATAGTCTTTGATGGATGTGAGGTTTTTGATGTATTATGTGAAAAGTTGAGAGGGTTAAATCTTGTGTATGATAATAAGGCACTTGCTTTTATAGCAATACTTACTTCTAAGCATGAAAACATGGTCATGAAGCTATTACATGAATTCAATAATCAATACGAATATAAGTTTACCTCCAATGGTGGCACGATACTACATGCATGTGAACAGAATCACTTTTCTGACTCTAATTTGCTGTTCATTCTACAAAGACCTGAGGGAAAGTTTATGTTTACAAAGGTAAATGATGATGGACTGACCCCTGTACAGTGTAGAAGATCTTACCCGAGAGTCAGAACATTTCTAAGTGTGGAGAATCTAGTCCAGTATTCTTATTATGTCAGTACAACAGATCTGTATCCAGGTAGAGATCAGTCTACATATAAACGTTTAAGTGATGATATGCTGCTTCTCTTCAAATCTGACAGTTTTACGTCATCATGATCATTGTCACTTTCAATATCTGTATCTGACTTGATACATATGATGATATTTGTGAAGCAATACATTTCACTTTGTCAGATTTAGAATTTTTTTCACGGACCATGTAGAGTTCTGTTACCTTTGCTGTAGTATATTCAGTTATCTGTATGAGTAATGTCAATTCATACAAACTGTACAAAGCTATTAATATGTAAAAATGAAATGTACATGTGATATTTTTAACAAATGTTCTTGTAGTCATGTTACATGTATTTATCCAAATCAGTTGTGATTTGCATTATTTATTTATATCTGATTTTGTAAAATTACATTGGGGAAATATTTATAGAATGCCATTTAATTAAGATATATACTAATCTGTAATGGAATTAAAAATTTTATTCATTAAATTTGGTAAATATTGTTTAACTGCTGTGCAATATATTAAATAGTTAAGTTTGTGCCGTTGTTAATCATGTTGTTAATTGTTAGGGCACCTTAAAATAAATCTTTGCTCTCCCTCTCCGTCAATTCAGAGACGTCATTTCACAATCATTTTCACAGGAATCGCATTGGAGAAAAATCAAAATGTTTCTGTAAATACTTCAAATATCATGTCAGAAATTTAAATACTTAATAATAAAACAATTTAAAGATACATTTGAGAAAATTGTCGAAAAATATCGCGAATTATAGAAAATTAATAAGTAAAATTTTAGATTCCACAAGCTTTTGTTTCAATTTTTTTGTCGTGCACCGTACCTCTCCATCACTGATATCCATACAGAGATAATGTTAGGAGCATTTTTTTTAAATACAAAACTTTTGCCCAAAATGTATTGGAATCTTTGAAATACATATTTCTGTGATTTTTCATAACTATTTGACGTCTGTAGAAGTAAATAATAGCAGAATCTGCGTAATTTTTGAACCGCCCTCGTACATGATTAACAACCATGATCCGATATCGTCGATATCGATGGTAGGTACAATTTTCGTAAAAGTAGAGTAATTAAACATCAACATAAACACACACACAGTAACAGGGACGGTATTTACCAAGGGCTGAACAAACATTATTAGATACCGAAGCGAAATCGACAATATCGACACTAAAGGGAAATTTTTATAAAAGACAGTTTTCAAGTAACACATGTTAAAAACAATATTATAGAAAGAAACCATAATTTTGTGAAGAATCATGATTTGATATCGGCACGATATCGCGGATATTGACAGTAAAGAAGACTTCTTAAAACTGAAAGTATTGCAATAAACACACAAGGATAGAGAAATATTATAGTAAACAATAAAAAAGTAAAATGTCAATATTGTAAATACATCGTGTCTTGGACATAACTCATATAATGGAAAACTTTATATATATTAAAATCATTTTGTATAAATTATGAAGAAAGGTACGTGTAGTTTTTAAACTTTTAAATTATTTCAAGTCTCCCTGAGGAGAAACTAGCCATTCACTTATAAAAAGTGCAACCAAATCCAAAAATGTATTCGTGATGCACACTTTTCAATAATCCTCAGTCTATATTTATAAAATTTGTACTTCCGATATGGTATGTCATTCAAAGAAAAGAGATCAATGTTGTACAGATATTGTAAATTTTACAACATTTCAGTTTGTAAGTCAGAGTTTGAAGAGAATAGATCTTTTGAGGTTTTTGATCCCAGTGCTTTGTGTCTCTGTGAGGAAACTTTGTATAATATTGCTCAATCGGAAACTGTCAGTGGTTTTCCTCTATTGTGTGAAGAATTTTTAAGCAACCCAGAATCCTTGAAGCAAAGGTAAGATTTTTTCACCATCAATTCAGCATGCAATCATTTAAAAAAAAACTAGTTGATGATTTGTTATGCAAAAAAATGTATTTGCATTATGTTATATTAGTTTTGTTCTTCTTGGAGGTTTTAACAGAGAAAGCGTACTCTATACAAGAAATAATGAAACGAAGATCAAAGATAAAGGAAATAGCAGAGAAAATTTATTTGTTTCACTTCATATCACACCAGTTGAACAAAGCTGAAATTCAGGGTAGCCTTAAAGATTTACAGACCACTTTTGTACATAGTACAGATGATGGTTACAAACTTAAGCATATGGTTGTGTATGAAGCAATTTTACTGTCCTTTGGGGAGAGTTTTCCATCTCCATTTCTAGAGCTTGTGAACAGGAATGAAGTATTTACGTATGTTAGGTCACACAATTACAAACCAGAAAAATGGGAGATTTGTGTGCATTTAGAAGATGATATGACTGAAGCTCTAGCTAGAAAACTGATAGATATTTTTGCTCCAAATACTTTTGATGCTTACACAGTTGTTTACCAGCATCCATCATTTTACGATGCACAGTTGGTGTCTTGTTTTTTGGACATAGTGGAGGAAGAGCCTGAGTTTGGAGCCTTTATAGATTCTTTTGTGGCTGGAGCTTGCAGTTACAAGAGAGATATATTAGCTAGTGAAACAGTCAAAAGATTTTCCAGCTTTTTTACGTTTGACGTCGAAATATTGGATGTAATTTTGAATCATGACCTTATTGATACTTTCAATCAATTTATCAATAACCCTGAATTTCAAAAATCATTTGTGGCTCATATTTTAGAAAAAGGTCATGAAAACAATCTTTTGTATACTGCATCTAAAAGTGGCTCTAGGAAGTGTTTTCTTGGTATGCTTGACTTACTGCTTACCAGAGACAATGATTTAGAGACCGATGGTGACAGTCAAGCTGTTTTATCAACATCTGATGCTAGGACACTAATACAATCAATTCTGTCACATTATGATGAGGCTGTAGGGGCGGACTGGAGGGAGGCATTAACAAAACTGACAGAGTTAAAGGCATCTGATGATTACAAACAAGACGTTTATAATTGTATTGTTCTGGAGTCTCTTAGGCTTAGAAAGTATGATATTACCCTGGAATATCTTCAATTTATAGATTCTTTCAGAACTGTTGATGTGCTTCTCTTAATTCCTTGTTGCATAGTCTTTGATGGATGTGAGGTTTTTGATGTATTATGTGAAAAGTTGAGAGGGTTAAATCTTGTGTATGATAATAAGGCACTTGCTTTTATAGCAATACTTACTTCTAAGCATGAAAACATGGTCATGAAGCTATTACATGAATTCAATAATCAATACGAATATAAGTTTACCTCCAATGGTGACACAATACTACATGCTTGTGAAAGGAGTAACTATTCTGATTCTAATTTGTTGTTCATTCTACAAAGACCTGAGGGAGAGTTTATGTTTACCTCAGTAAATAAGGAAGGACTGACCCCTGTACAGTGTAGAAGATCTTATCCGAAACTCAGAACATTTTTAAGTGTGGAGAATCTACTTCAGTATTCTCATTATGACAGTACAACAGATCTGTATCCAGGTAGAGATCAGTCTACATATAAACGTTTAAGTGATGATATGCTGCTTCTCTTCAAATCTGACAGTTTTACGTCATCATGATCATTGTCACTTTCAATATCTGTATCTGACTTTTTTTGATACATATGATGATATTTGTGAAGCAATACATTTCACGTTGTCAGATTTAGAATTTTTTTCACGGACCATGTAGAGTTCTGTTACCTTTGCTGTAGTATATTCAGTTATCTGTATGAGTAATGTCAATTCATACAAACTGTACAAAGCTATTAATATGTAAAAATGAAATGTACATGTGATATTTTTAACAAATGTTCTTGTAGTCATGTTACATGTATTTATCCAAATCAGTTGTGATTTGCATTATTTATTTATATCTGATTTTGTAAAATTACATTGGGGAAATATTTATAGAATGCCATTTAATTAAGATATATACTAATCTGTAATGGAATTAAAAATTTTATTCATTAAATTTGGTAAATATTGTTTAACTGCTGTGCAATATATTAAATAGTTAAGTTTGTGCCGTTGTTAATCATGTTGTTAATTGTTAGGGCACCTTAAAATAAATCTTTGCTCTCCCTCTCCGTCAATTCAGAGACGTCATTTCACAATCATTTTCACAGGAATCGCATTGGAGAAAAATCAAAATGTTTCTGTAAATACTTCAAATATCATGTCAGAAATTTAAATACTTAATAATAAAACAATTTAAAGATACATTTGAGAAAATTGTCGAAAAATATCGCGAATTATAGAAAATTAATAAGTAAAATTTTAGATTCCACAAGCTTTTGTTTCAATTTTTTTGTCGTGCACCGTACCTCTCCATCACTGATATCCATACAGAGATAATGTTAGGAGCATTTTTTTCAAATACAAAACTTTTGCCCAAAATGTATTGGAATCTTTGAAATACATATTTCTGTGATTTTTCATAACTATTTGACGTCTGTAGGAGTAAATAATAGCAGAATCTGCGTAATTTTTGAACCGCCCTCGTACATGATTAACAACCATGATCCGATATCGTCGATATCGATGGTAGGTACAATTTTCGTAAAAGTAGAGTAATTAAACATCAACATAAACACACACACAGTAACAGGGACGGTATTTACCAAGGGCTGAACAAACATTAGATACCGAAGCGAAATCGACAATATCGACACTACAGGGAAATTTTTATAAAAGACAGTTTTCAAGTAACACATGTTAAAAACAATATTATAGAAAGAAACCATAATTTTGTGAAGAATCATGATTTGATATCGGCACGATATCGCGGATATTGACAGTAAAGAAGACTTCTTAAAACTGAAAGTATTGCAATAAACACACAAGGATAGAGAAATATTATAGTAAACAATAAAAAAGTAAAATGTCAATATTGTAAATACATCGTGTCTTGGACATAACTCATATAATGAAAAACTTAATATATATTAAAATCATTTTGTATAAATTATGAAGAAAGGTACGTGTAGTTTTTAAACTTTTAAATTATTTCAAGTCTCCCTGAGGAGAAACTAGCCATTCACTTATAAAAAGTGCAACCAAATCCAAAAATGTATTCGTGATGCACACTTTTCAATAATCCTC